GGACGGACGGACGGACGAAAAAGACGACGACGATGACGACGACGACATCCGACCGACCGACCGACCAGCAGACCGACCGACCGACGAAACGATGACCGACGACCGACAAGTCCTGGGGAGGACGGCCCCGTTATGGTGACCGCGATCGAAGTGCACTTACCGCAGCTCGTTAGGCATCGCTGCTGTTGCCGCCTGCCGCCTGCACAGAGCCCGATGCCAGTGGCTGGGCACCCGTGCCCACTAGTACTGAGGGGGAACGATGGGGGGGGGAATGGCTCAGAGGCGAAACCTCGACCTGGAATCGGCGATTCACCGCCGACGGATCGGCGCTCGATCGCATACTTGCATATGCTCGGGCAGGGTAGGGTGCCCAGGCCCCGATCGGAGACGAATGGGGCGTTGGGGGTCGATGTTCTTCCCCCCCACCCGAGCTTGTCCCACCCCTCGCGAGGCCCCTGGGGCACCGCCGGGCGGAGGCTAAACGTGGATAGCCAACGGCGCCCAGCGACCTCCCCCCCCCTCCCCCCGAGGCTGCGCAGCGGCCCTGCCCCTCTGGTCGCGGCAGCCGTCGTTGGCGTCAGCGCCATCCGTCGCCCATCGCGCGTCCTCGCTGATCCGTCGTCGCGTCGTCCGTCGTCTCTGCTCTGTCGACGGTCGTGCGTCGTCCGCCGTCCACGTTCGACCCCCGGACGTCGCCAGACGCCGTCGCTGTCCCTCGGCCGTCGGTCGTCGACCATCCGCCGCCCGCCGTCGCCCCCGCTTGTCGTCGTCGGGGCGGCCGCTGGCGACAAGAGGCCCCGCGCGGACGGGGGGGGGCGCCGCCGATCCTGCCCCTCGGGCAGCAGCAGGCCCTTGACGAGGCGGTGGTTGGGGACCTGCCCGCTTGCGCGCGGGAGGGCGACCCCCGGGGCGGGAGCGGCCTCTGCCGCGCCCGGCCTGCCGAGCCGCTGCGTGCGGTAGGACGGCGTCGGCCTGCGCGCCTGGGCCTGCCCCTCCCCCTCCTCCTCCTCCATCCTCTCTCCTCCTCCTCCTCCTCCTCCTCCTCCTCCACCTCCTCCTCCTCCTCCTCCTCCTCCTCCTCCCCCTCCTCCCCACTCCTCCTCTCCTCCTCCCCCTCCTCCTCCCCCTCCTCCCCCCCTCCTCCCCCTCCTCCTCCTCCTGCCCTCCTCCTCCCCTCCTCCTCCTCCTCCTCCCCCTCCTCCTCTCCTCCTCCTCCTCCTCCTCCTCCTCCTCCTCCCCGCAGGCCGCGCCCCCCGCAAGCCGCGCGCCAGAGGTCACCCCGGCGGAGGGCCACCCCTGCGCGCAGCCGGACCCGGCAGAGGTCGTCATAGCCATCGCTCCTGGGGAGGCCCGCGCTGGCCCGCGCCCCGTGCAGGCCCGACCGAGCGGACGAAGCCCGAATCAGAATAGTTCTAAGTATAACAACGATAGTGATAACATTTATAGTGATACTTTCATGAATCGTAATAAGCGCAGACAGAATCATAATCATACTCAGAATCATAGCCATGATCATACTCATAACCGTAGTAATAACAGCAATCAGAATAATAATAGTAGCACTACTGAGAATAATAATAGCAACAGTAATAGTTATTCTTAAAATAATACAAACAATAATGATGATAATAATAATAATAATAACAATAACAATAAGAATCATCATCATCATCATCATCATCATCATCATCATCATCATCATCATCATCATCATCAACATCATCAACATCATCATCATCATCATCAGCATCATCATCACCACCATCATCATCATCATCATCATCATTATCAGCATCATCAAAATCAGCATTATCATCATCACCACCATCATCGCCACCATCATGAGCAGAATGGAAACACAAATAATACGAATATCATGAATAATATTAAAAATGATACGGGTTTGAAAAGTGATGGTAGTAGTAATAGTAATAATAACTGTATTAATAAGATCGGTGAGCAGCATATACACAAGTTAATACATAAATTAGACATAAGTGCTTAAATGTAATAATACCTGGTTTCTATATTTTCTACCGTATATACTGGACATTAAAACTAAGCATAATTCCAACCACGACATGGAAATGATGACGATGCGGATGATAGTATTACGAATACAACAACAATATTCAATACCACAAACAGCAACAACAATAACAAAACAGAAGGAATACAAAGAAAACGATGGCCCACACGAAACAAATCAGAGGCAACAGCATGAAATGGGGATTCCCCGCTGCAGTATCCTGGCAAAGAACCGCGGGCAACGCGTCCTCCTCCTCCTCCTCATCATCCTCCTCCTCCGCCTCCTCCTACTTATCCTCCTCCTCCTTCCCGTCCTCCTCCTCGTCCTCGTCCTCGTCCTCTTTATCGGCCCCCTTGTCGGTCTCATCCTCGAGGCCCTCATTCTTCCTATCGTGCTATTGGGCTTCCTCCTCCAAGGCAACAAGATCCTGCAACCCCCTGAAACACGACCACCCCTGCATCCCCCTCATCGTCGTCGTGTTCCTACTCCTCCTGGCCGTTCTGCCCATCCTCCTCGTCCCGTTCCCTCTCTTCCTCTTCCTGTCCCTCCTCCTCCTCCTCTTCTTCCGCGTGTTCCTGCAGTTTCTGCTCCTCGGGCGGTTGCGCCCGCGGGCGGGTTGAAATGTGTCGCCTTGTTACGGTTGCTGCGCCCGCAGGCAGATTGAAATGTGTCGCCTGGTTGCGGTTGCGGTTGCGCCCGCGGGCGGGTTGAAATGTGGGTCCGGGGGGCGTTACCGCCCCCCTGCGTTTTTGACTTTTCGCGAGAACGAATAAAGACGAAAAAGCCGCAGAAGGCAAACACACAAAACGACTGACGGCCCCTAGCGTTGTTTAGTTTTTCGCGTGTCCTTCATTTCCTCCTCATCATCATCATCCCATCCTCCTTTTCCTCCTCCTCCTCCTCCTCCTCCTCCTCTTATTCCTTTTCTCCTCTGCAGTAGAAGCAAAACTCCTCCTGCTCCACCTCATGTGTTCTCTCACTCCCTGGAACCATTGGGGAGACCCCAATCCATAAAATCAAAAAACTCAATAAGCGCAATGTTCTGGGACATTACAGACAGCGAGCGGGGCGACTCTTTACATTACGTGTATTATTTGGTTTGCTTGTATGGTTTTTTGTTTTGAGATTATTCCACAGGTTTTCCTGGGCTCTGCTCCGACAGGCGATTTTGATTAGGAGGAGAGGGAGGAGGAGGAGGAGGAGGAGGAGGAGGAGGAGGCTCTCATGGCTCCCGCATGGATCCCTCATGGCTCCCCCATGGCTCCCTCATGGATCCCTCACGGCTCCCTCTTGGCTCCCCCGTGGTTCCATCATGGTTCCCTCATGGCTCCCTCGTGGCTTCCTCATAGCTCCCCCATGGCTCCCTCATAGCTCCCACATGGCTCCCTCATGGCTCCCTCGTGGCTCCATCATGTCTCCTTCGTGTCTCCCTCATGGTTCCCTCATGTCGCCCTCATGGCTCCCCCATGGCTCCTTCATGGCTCCATCATGGCTCCATCATGGATCCCTCATGGTTTCCTCATGGCTCCCTCGTGGCTCCCTCATGGCTTTTCCGTGGCTTCCTCATGGCTCCCTCATGGCCATGATAGCTCCCTCATTACTCCCTCACGGCTCCCACATGGCTGCCTCGTGGCTCCCTCCTGGCTCCTCCATGGCTCCCTCATGGCTCCCTCGTGGCTCCATCATGTCTCCTTCGTGTCCCCCACCCATGGTTTTCTCATGTCTACCTCATGGTTTCCTCATGTCGCCCTCATGGCCCCCTCATGGCTCCCTCATGGCTCCATCACGGCTCCCTCGCGGTCCTGGCATGGCTCCCTCATGGCTCCCTGTTTGCTCCTTCACGTCTCCCTCATGGGAAGGCACAGGAGCAGCAGCCGGAGGAGGGGGAGAAGCAGGAGTAGAAGCAGGAGGAGAAGGCAGAGGAGGAAGAGGAGGTTGATGATGTGGCTTCTTGCCAGTGCAACCCATACGCAAGACAGCAAAACAGACATTGGCAACCTCATGTCTCGAATGGCGCTCGGTGCATGTACGCATGCTGCGAAATCTGTGGTTTCAATATCCCGCCCTGGATTTACAATTCGCAAAATGAGATGCCCCTTCGGCCAAATGTGGAACAGCTCAGACCAATTCAGATGAGGCAAGATACTGCAGCGCCCATCATATACAAGGGCATCCTCGATCGGCTCAAGCGTTCTCATCGCACGCGCCTTTCGTGCCGACGCTCCTCCCTTGCGACTGCCGTGGCGAAGGAGAACGCGATGCCCCCAAAGACCCTCCGCGAGACTCTTGGGGACGCCGCTGGGGACGAGAACCTCAACTTCGGCGAAACCCTCGCGCACCCCGATGGCATGAAACCCCACTTCCACGCTGGCCTCCCGCACGGCCACGTTTGGCAAGAGGGGGCGTCAAAGATCGCGGACCTTCGTGCTGCACCCATGAACGCCCATGCGGGCACGGAGATATGACCACTCGAAGAAGCGAAAGGCCATGGCAAAAGACCGTGCGACACGAAATGCCACGCCGAGGGCCCGCGGCAAGAGCACCGCCGTGAAGAAAGCCCGTGGAAAGCGCGTCGCCACCAAGCGCGACAACGCCAAGCGCACCTCCATGAAGAAGCGCGGCGCCAAGCGATCCATCGTGACGAAGAAGAAGAAGAAGCCTGCCCAAGGCACTGCGGGGAAAAAGGGGGAAGCCCAGCCCTCCGCCATGAAGGAGGCGAGCCCCACGAAGTTCATCATCCAGGCAGACGAGGCGTACCACCACAACGCGCCTGACGCCTGGCTGCCGCCCGAGGCCTGACAAAATCTGGTTATAGCGCGTCGTTGTGCAGGAGTCGCCGCAGAGCGTGCTGGACAACCCGTCGGACGCTTATGATGGGCGGCCGCAAGGCAAGGCAGAAATGGTCAAGAGTTTCGACATGGTCGGCCTTCGCAAAGGCGTGACGTTGTGGTGTCAGACTCGTGGGGGGGAGGGGCACGCTGGCGGCAGTGAAGCACATCCGCGCCAGGGAAGGCTGGTCGACGCGCGACATGCGCCACGAGGCGGTCGTGCACTCCAGTGGAGAGGCGGTGAACGCGCGCGGCTACGGCACCAACGTTATCGAGAACAGGTGGTCCGTGCTTGAGCGTTGGGAGGAGAAGCGAAACGGGGGCCAACTGCCTCCCACCTCGGACAGGCGCGCGTAGAGCAGGCTTATCACGGAGCTCCCGTATCGAAAGGTCGCGCCCAAGGGGCACAGGATGGACGGCGGCCACACGTACTCGGTGGCCGCGAGGGTTTTCTTGCAGCACGTGGCCGAGGTGCACGCGCAGGGGAAGATGTGAGCTGACCTCGGCTTCGTGCCCCCGATGCGGTTTTCGGCCGCATTGCGTTTTGCATGCGCTGTCGAAGAAAAGACACCGACACATCGTACTTCCGCATCCTGTCGCCCCCCCTCGCCCTCCTAGAGCAAGCTCAAGAGAAAATATCAAAAACGTAGGTGGCGGCTATGCCCCCTGAACCATGAAAAATGTCGCCTGGTCGCGGTTGCTGTTTCGGTTGCGCCCGCGGGCGGATTGATATGTGTCGCCTGGTTACGGTTGCGGTTGCGGTTGCGCCCGCGAGCGGGCTGAAATGTGTTACTGGGTTGCGGTTGCGGTTGCGGTTGCGCCCGCGGGCGGGTTGAAATGTGTCGTTTGGCTGCGGTTGCGCCCGCGGGCGGGTTAAATGTGTCGCCTGGTTGCGGTTGCGGTTGCGGTTGCGCCCGCGGGCGGGTTGATATGTGTCGCCTGGTTGCGATTATAATTCCGCCCGCGGGCGGGTTGAAATGTGTCGCCGGGTTGCGGTTACAGTTCCGCCCGCGGGCGGGTTAAAATGTGTCTCCAGGTTGCGGTTGCGGTTGCGCCCGCGGGCGGGTTGAAATGTGTCGCCTCGTTGCGGTTGCGGTTGCGCCCGCGGGCGGGTTGAAAGGTGTTGTCAAAAATGCCCCTCCAATTCAGTCAATGCAACTGAATTCAGGTCGGTAGGATCCCACCTGGGAAGATGTTTATGTAGCCCCTCGCCATTTCCTCCTCGCCCTGGCGCAGGCCCTCATCCCGCTTTCTGATTGGCCTCTTCCGCCTCCTCCTCCTCCTCCTCCTCGTTCTTCTCCCCCTCCTGCTATGCATCCTTTTTGTTTTGATCCTTTTCCTCCTCGTCCTCCTGGTCCTCCTCATCCTCCCCCTTTCCCTTCTCCTCCTCCTTCTCCTCGTCACCGTTCTCCTCTTTCAAACGAAAAAGTTGCCCCTGTCGCACCCCGTGGCCGGTCGGAAGGGCGGGCCGGGCGTTTCGCCTGTGATTGCCTTACTATTAGATGAGCCTCAAGTTTAAAGCTGACCACAGCTTCACAGATGGAGGGCGGATCGTTTTCAAAATGCATCTCTCGCCTTGGCGCCGCGCACATTCGTTTCAACAGGATGCAAGAATGTCACGGATTGAGGACAGGTCGTTTTTTTTAATGTGGCTATCGCCGTAGCGCCGCGCACACTCATCCTAAAATGTTGCAACAGCTTCACGGATTCAGGACAGATCGTGTTCAAATGTGGTTCTGTCGCGTATGATCGTTTTAAAAATGTGGGAGAGTTTTAATGGTGTGCATGGTCACCGTACCCGAAAGCGTTTTGAAACGATTCTGGATCGTCAGGGCGCCACAGTTACTTTGATTCGCGGTGTTGAAAGCCCAGGGTTGGCGTTATGGCGCAATTCCGGATCGTCAAGTCGCGTCGATCAGATTGACCCGTGGCGTTGAAGTCCTGACATTGGTGTTTTGGCATGTTCTGGATTATCGCACGTTTGTCCCTCAACGGGACACTTCTTTCAGTGGAAATGAATCCGTGTATGGGGCCGACGAAAAAAGGGAGTTTGGATGGAGGGTGCATTCCGACATCGTTGATGATGCTTGGGTTTACCCTAGTCCTCCCCCTCCTCCTCCTCCCCTTTCTCCTCCTCCTCCTCCTCTTCCTCCTCCTCCTCTTCCGTTTCCTCCTCCTCCCCGCCCCCATTATCCTTTTCCTCCTCCTCCTCCTCTTCCTCCTCCTCCTCCTCCTCCTCCTTCTCCTCCTCGTCTTCCTCCTCTTCCTCCTCCTTTTCCTCCTCCTCCTCCTTTTCCCCCTCCTTCCCCTGTTTCTCCTTCTCCATATCATTGTCCTCCTCCTGCCTCTTCCCTTCAAGCACCTCTCCTTCCATCTGGCCGGGGCCCGCATGTCGATTTTCCTTGGCGCCGTCGCCGCCTCGGCGAGCAAGGGCGCGTTCTCCGATGGCCCGATCGCGAAGCTCGCGAAGGCGGGCAAGACAGGGAAGCCTTCTCCGGCGTCCTGCAAAGCATCAACGCAGAGGCGGCGGGCGAGGTAGGATAGAGGATCGAGGTAGGATCGAGGATGTGCCTCGACATTCTGCACAGAACCCCCAAGGAAAGGACTGGGGGGGTTCATGGCTGGAGGAGGGGCCCAAAACCACAACGCCCTGAAAAAGTCAGGAGGGGGGCTTTGCGCCACTCTCGGCCTCTGGGGGTCTGCGTCTGGCCCCGGGACGGCCAATGACCGATCCGCAGCAGAAGCCCGGCGGCAGGGAAGGGGTCGAGACGTTGGAATTCTGAGGTGGTGGCGCTGCCGAGCCCAGGCCGATACAGACCGATCGGGTCTCTGAACAAACTTCCTCCTCTTCCTTCTCCTCCTCCTCCTCCTCCTCCCTCCTCCTCCTCCTCCTCGTCCTCCTCCTCCCCTATTCCTCCTCCTTTTCCCCCTCCTCATCCTCCTCCTTCTCCTCCTCCTCCTCCTCCTCCTCCTCCTCCTCCCTCCTCCTCCTCCTCCTCCCCTCCCCTTCTCCCCCTCCTCATCCTCCTCCTTCTCCTCCTCCTCCTCCTCCTCCTCCTCCTCCTCCTCCCCCTCCTCCTCCTCCTCTGAGCGGCGACTCTGGTCCGAGGCTGGGGGAGGCGACCAGGCCGCCTCCTCACCTAAGCGCGCCACAGGGAGCGGCGGGCTCGGCAGAGGCACTGGGCTGCCTGTCACAGCCCACGGTGAGGCCACTGGACAAGCAGCCCTCAGATGAGGGATCCAAGGAGTCCGAAAGCTGGTGGAACACCAATCGAGGCTCGACCATGGCAGTCACCGCCGCCCCCATTAGACAAGGGATCCTCCAGAGCCTGAAGCCTCCTGGGCACGTTCCTCAACCAACGCCCCACCGTGCCACCCGCCAGGATAAGGACAAGGACAAGGACACGGGCATCGCGTACGTTTTTGAATCGGCAGCGCAGAGGATCCTCTGGTGCGAACCGCCGACGGAAGTGCGGATTCGAATCGAACGCTGGCGATGGCACAATACAAAACTACAAAACGTGCACACTGTCAATGCAACGATGATTGGTGTGGCTGCGTACGTGCAGCGCGGCGCGCGAGCGGAAACATGCTCTCGGGGCTCAGCGAGCAGAGGAGCAAACTTGTCAGCCCAGGGCGCGGCTGGCCCGCCTTGGCTGCGACATCCCTCGGCCTCGCCCTGGGGAAAGCCGAGGCATCGGTGTGGAAAGGCTCCGGGCAAATGCGATACGGTGAGGGCATGTGTTCTGTCTCTCCGCGTCCGAGGACTTGCACGCAACAACAGAAGTCCCACTGGAGGCGCTAGCATACTTGGCGGCTCACGGTGAGGGCATTGGAGAAAGAGCCACTGGATACGGAATCCAGAGTCTGGGAGCCCGTGGAACTCCAATCGTGGACTGGCCTGGGTATCACCGCAGCCCTGATGAGATAAGGAATCCTCCGGGACCGGAAGCCTCATGGGAATACTTCTTCAGAAAAGCCCCTACTGCAGGCCAGACAAGCCGTCGAGTGCAGAGCAAGCCTGGAGGACGAAGCTGGATCTGGTGACCCAGTCGGGTAGCGGGGGCAACCACTGCGAGGGTGCCTGTGCCGAGAGGGGCTTCGACTCCATCTCGGGATCGGTGCTCTCGTTGGCTGTCTCTGTTGCCCCTTCCGGTTTAGCGAAGGGTTCCGAACAGTTGTTCCTCATCCTCATCCTCCTCCTCCTCCTCCTCCTCCTCCTCCTCCTCGTCATCATCATCATCATCATCATCATCATCATCATCATCATCATCATCATCATCATCATCATCATCATCATCATCATCATCATCATCATGCTGCTCCTCCTTCATCCTTTTCATGACGAATGAATAACTCTTCCTCATCCTCCTCCTCCTCCTCCTCCTCCTTCTGCTGCTCCTCCTTCATACTTTTCATGACGAGTAAAGAACTCTTCCCTGCCGCACCCGCAGACCTGCCGGTGGGGCGGGCCAGGCTGTTCGCCGGAGACTTCCTCACATGCTATATGGTCCTGAAGCTGGGCGATTTGCCACAGTCACACACATCGAGGGCATGGTGTTCAACATGCCGCCGTCGTCCTCACGCCGCGCACATCCGTCCGAAAACGCCTGCAACATGTACCAGGATGGAGAGTGGCAGTTTTCAAAATGATGCTCTCGTCTCAGCGCCACACACGCACAGATTCGTCCTCATAGCTTGCAGCATATACGAGAATGGAGGGGAATCGTGTTCCACATGGAGGTCTCGCCTGGGCGCCGCGCGAGTTCGTTTAGAGACTTGCAACAGATTGAGAGATGGAGGGGTGGTGTCGTTGAAAATCCTGGTCTCGCTTTGGTGCCGAGCACGCTCGTCCCAAAAGCCCGCAGCAGCTGCAGGGACGGAGGACGGCTCCTCGTCAGCATGGGGCTCCCGCTCAAGACTCCCCCGAAGGCCACGACCAGAAGTGCAAGCGTGTGCAGCAGCCACACCGATGGAGGCGGTCCTTTCTGGCAAACAGGAGATATCGCTGGGCACCCCGCTGAACTGTCACTGCACCGCCGACCTTGCAGGCGTGCTGCAGCGGATGTTTTGCGAGGATTCCTGCCGGTACAGAACCCCGAAAAACGGCGCGCGCAAAACGAAGCGAATGTCACGCGGACTTGCTTGTAGTCTTCACTCCTGGCCGAAAAGATCCGCACGAGGTCACCTTCGAAATCCAGAGCGGGATTATCAAGGACTCTCCAGGCCCATCCCACCGTGTTCCGAACGACATCCGCTCTGCGGTGCGGGTGCCGGGAGAGCTGTTAGGGGGCCACATGCGAACCCTACCCCTACCCCCCACGATTTCTGAGGGGGAGGGTGGGGTTCACTTCGCTAGGGAGCTCCCGAGCGGAGTGAACCCCACCCTCCCCCTCAGAAATCGTGGGGGGCAGGGGTAGGGTTCGCATGTGGCCCCCTAGCTGTAGGATCGCACCTCGCGATCCTCACGACCGGGATTATCCAGGACTCTCCAG